AAGTTGAGTTATTGACTTTTACGACAACCACCCTTAGAACTGAATGTATCATTACGTTTCCCACAAAGTACGGAGTTCCTCAGGGTTCGGTCCTTGGTCCTGTCATCTTTACAATGTACATGCAAAGTCTGTCATCAATAATTTCTTTATATGCCCTCAATTACCATCTTTAAGCAGACGATACACAGCTGTATGGATTCACTACAACAGACAATGTACACAATCTCATAGATAGAATCGCCAGATGTATCAATGATATAAGAAAATGGATGTTCAAGAACAAATTAAAATTAAATGAGGATAAGACCGAAATATTATTTCTTCGTAGCAGCACATGCAATGAAATCGACAATATCAGAATAAACATCAATGGCCACGAAATATCAGCCCAAACTAAAATAAAAAATTTAGGTGTGGTGCTAGATCAAGATATGTCAATGAAATACCATGTATCCAATCTTTGTAAAAATCTATATCTCCAGCTGAAGAAAATAGGGAGCATTAGAAAATATATATCTGTTGGTGTCACCAAAACTTTAATAACATCGCTTATATTGTTAAGGATTGATTATTGCAATTCCTTACTGGCTGGTGTACCTGATGAACAGTTACAACAACTACAAAGAGTACAAAATATTGCTGCCAAAATAATTACAAAAAAACTAAAGCATGATCATGTGACTCCTATTATAAAAGCATTACACTGGCTCCCAGTGAAAGAGCGTATCATATATAAAATCTGTTTAACTTGCTGCAAGTGCCTAAATGATTTATCACCGGACTGTCTAAAACAGCTTTTAACACACTATGTGCCTCCTAGAACTAGAACGCTCAGATCATCAAGTGACAAAACAACCCTTGTTAAGCCTAAAATAAATTACAAATCATATGGCCAACGCTCTTTTTCATATTTTGCCCCAATTGTTTGGAATAGGCTTCCAAAAACTATCAGAGAAGCAGAAAATCTAGAAATTTTTAAGAAGAAACTAAAATCATTTCTATTTTCATCATATTTCGATTAGACAGAATGCATCCAAGCTGTAGATCGTTGTGAGTTTGTATGTGCGTATGTGCATATGTACGTATGTGTGTATGTATGTGTGTGTGGTGCGTGCGTGAGTGAATATGTGTTTGCATGAGTATGTAACACTATGTACCTTTAAAATTGATTTGTAAATCCATAATAAGTATCATGTTAAGCGCATAGAGCATTGCATAAGTGGATATGCGCTATATAAATGCAATCCATTATTTTTAATGAGATCGCTTACATTGAGTTTTTTAACATTAGACGATGAAAGTGACTCGGAAACCGATGAATTGGTCAAAGATTATTATGACGAACTGGGTGGGGAAATTTGCAAAGAAGAGTAAGGTTTAGTAGGGCCTCCAAAACCTAGATCTAGGGTTGCAGAAGTGGGGAAGGACGTGAGTAAGAAAGGCAAAGGGAAAGCAGTTTTCGACCAATTTTTGAAAACTTGTGAAAAAAAAAGTAACATAAAAACAAAGCTGTAATTTCATCAGGGCAATCTTTATTATGTTCAAACACAATGTTCCGATTTTCAAGTCTCTATGTTAATTAGCAAAACTACAATGATTTTTTAAAATTACCCTTTAAATGGTTGGTACACAGTGAATAGCGACCCCGAAAATGGCTGGTAGTGAGTGAATTAAGAGATGATACCAATAACTAATAACTCCATATGCCCAAAAAGTGACAAGTGCCTGATTCCACTGCATCTTGACACACAGAAAAAAAGCAAGGGGAGAAATGGGAAGCGGTTGTTTGCACAGGTGATGATTCTCCAGCATGTGACCATTAGAGCAAGTTTGTATCATGTTGAGCTCAACTGTCAATAAGGATCACCCACCTAGCAAAAGTATTCCACAAGACAACTGTTGTGCCTTTGCATGAGAAGATAGCGAAGGTTGTAGAATTTTGATTGTGACAAGAGGGGAGACAGAGAGAAGAAACCATCGCCTTGGCTCAACACTTCACATATTGGAAAAAAATGCTGGAACACAAAAAACTAGACTAGAAAGTCAAAAGCAGTTTCCATTTATTTAATCAAAGCTATGTTCAAATACAGAGCTAGCAGTGTTAATCCGGGACCGATAAGGCACAACATGATGACAGTGATGACCAACACGACATCAGTGAATTTCACAGAAAATATTCTATCATCATGGCAAAGTAAAGCATCTTAATCCAAATATTGAGCACACAAAATAATAAATCATAGATGATTACTAAGATACAAATATATATATATAATCATCTGACACATGTCTTCATTGTAGACAGCAAAAGACAACGGTTGAGACTGTAGAATTAAACAAATTTTACACCCGTCTTCATTGACCATTTTAATTTTCATACAGTAAATATTTACTTTTCCCTCAGTCTACTGCACAGCACATTTTAATACATCTTCCTACGTACATTCCTTGATTTGCAAAAATTCATTTCACGAAATTGTTTAACACTCCAATCAAATTAACCAATCAGCACAGAAAGTCATTTTTGTTAGAATTAAAAAGAATAATATATGAGAGTAACAAGTCTACTGAAGTAATATTTGTTTCATTTTAACACGCCGCAAATCTTATGTTTCCTTTAGCTTAGTATTAACTTACAACAATGCATGTGAATGCAATAGAATTTGTGTTTTCACTAGCCCACACACACCAGAAAAGATTACTTTTTATCCCAGTGAGAATACTGTCCATAGCAACCTACTTAGGGAACCTAAACTATTGGGTAAACGGGAAAGATCAGGAAAACGTAGCTCTTTTTTAAGAGCATCCGAGCAAAGGTATGAATGGGGAACCATGATCGCCGATGTCTGTCGCAGATCTGGCACTGGATGATGATGATGATGATGATGATGATGTGAATACTTTGGTTACAATGCCATTTGCAAAAGATTTAGTTACACAAGTATAAATTAAAAATTATACACATAAATTAAAGTACATTAAAGCACCACAAATTCTTTTTCATATTATTGTAAGAACAAATTCAAAATGGCACATGTGTATTCATGGTATAATGATACAGTAGTCTCCATCTAAACGCACACCGTACAAAGCGACGCTCCGCTCAAACACATGCTTTCGTCATATGACAGGCTTTTAACTATAAAACGTAAATGTACAAATGCAAGGTCACTTCCTCTAAATTGCACGCTTCGATACGTGAAACACAATGATAGGTAAAGCTTAACAAAGTGAAATTTTTGCTACAACCTACACAGCCTGTACAAGACAAGTCTAGACAACTGGATATTTGGCGAGAATGCTCCTCAGGCAGTACAAAGAGAGTGATGGAGACCATTTGCACATCCAATTGTCTACGGACACATAGGTCTCGAATTGGGAGTGGGAGTAACTGAAATGTCTTTTGATTGGTCACTCAAAATGTGTCGCTTGGAAAGCCCTGTGGCTGAGCACTCTTCCCCCTATGACTACCACTAACAGTAACACCAACAGTTTCCCCGACATGTTAGTGTACATCAGTAGGGCAGGTTGGTCTTTTCGCTTTTTTTCCACCCCTCAATCAACGTCTTTTGTAATCATTAACACGCAATCAGGGAATCCTTTATAAAACAGTCACATTTCATCTCGTTATCAGCGAAAGCAACCCTCCATCCCATAAGGGAGGTCAGTAGTTCTCTAGAATATAAAGAAATGAGAATGCTATGTCTCTTTTCCCCTCTGCACAGGTTCACATAAATACACGCTCAGTGTATGTAAATGGACACTTAGGAGCCCTCCCGAGCACTATTTTTAGGTGGAGACTACTGTAGGATCCAACATGACCTGATGATGACCTTTAAACATCCAAGGAGAAAGAGAAGTTAAAGGTCTTGCATGGTAAAGAGAGTAATGTAAACGAAATAATAATAAACAACTTATAATAATGATCACAAATGTAACAACCCATAACAGACAGCAGATCCTTTCCCTTTTCTTATCTACCTGAACACATGGTTAGTTGGTTAAACCCTCTTATGGCTTTGCTTGTGACCTTCAAACTTTATTCTTTTTGAACAAAATTTTGCCCCTGTGGTTTTATGCACCTCGCATAATTTAGCAAAATTTGATCATTTTTTGCATAATTTCTGATCATTTTCCTTTATCATTCTTTGCTAAAATTAACAGAATCGTATAATTTCACATTTTTGGGCTCAGTTTGCATAATTTCATAATTTTTTTTGCATAAAACGACAGGGACAGAAAATTTTCCCCAAAAATGAGCACTTGTAGTCCATTGGGTCAGTGTCAATGTCAGGGTTTAAGTATAACTGTCTTGATTTTCTTGCTTCTCTGGCAACCTCTTCTTTACTTTACAAACTTTGTTTTTCTCAAAAACAATTCAACATGATATACTTAACGCCTTTGTGATCGGTTAAGACCGAGGATTTCCCAAACATCTACATCAAAGCGGCAATCTTTCAAAGTAGTCTTCAGAGGGTCTCTATAACCTTACATATATATTTTTTTAAAAATTGATTTGTGGGGGCAATAATATCTGCCTTCCACATACCAATTCAGAGTAGAAAATAACTTGTTGGAGCCGTTATTTTTGCTACAAATTTAGACCAAGTCTCTCTCATCCAAGTTGGATTTTTTCCAGGTTCAGAAAATACAAGAGGCTTTTATCCCCTCAAAAACTTCAGCGTCTCATCTTATCTGTCCCCGTCGTTTTATGCAAGAAAAATTCTGAAATTATGCAAACTGAGCTAAAAAATGTGAAATTATGCAATTCAGTTGATTTTAACAAAGAATGATAAAGAAAAATAATTAGAAAAATGCAAAAAATGATCAAATTTTGCTAAATTATGCGGGGTGCATAAAACCAAGGGGACAGTCTTGTCCCTCTAACGAATCCTCTGCAGGCCTCTCAGACAGGACGTTTGTAGTTATAACATCCTGTCAAAAACAACAGTAACGTCTACTAAACCTCTCCATGGTGTACGAGTGTATTTTTTTTCAACTTTTTCTTTTCACACACTAAATTTTCTTTGAAATTTGGAGCCAGTTCAGGTTCGCCCTGACAGGCAAGATCTAAATAGCCCTCCTCCTCTCCTAAATTATCTCAGCTGTGTCTATGGAGGCACAATACATTTAAAATAAATCAATCAGCAGTTCAAACTCTGTTTAGGACATGCATGTTTTACATGACACCAGGATCAAAACCATCCAGAAAAGCCAACAGCCAATGACAGGCTTACAATGACTTAACAGTCAACAGATGTACTGAGTAATGCTGCTGAATATTCCATCGTATTTGTTCTAAAATCCACCTTACTTTTGACATGCATTGCCTTGCTTTCACCTTGGCTGAGTCAAATTTCTGTTTAGAAAATTAAGTATCTTAGGCCAGCTGTCAGCTTGGGCATGAGCGTGCAGTTTTGGGTCGCCTCCCCACAACATGTACATTTCTGAAAAAAAAAAAAAGAGAATGAAAATTGACCAATAGTCTGCTAATTTTCAAAATTTTCACCATAATATTTGGTAAAAACAATTGCTTTCTGCAGGTCTGACAACTTTGGAAAATGCAAAATAGGGAAAGTCATCGTGGCGCGCTGTGTGCCAGGTCATATTCCTGTCACACTTAACTTATTCATATTCATTTAATATATGTGTTTATGGCCAACGAGGCAACATCGAGTCGGGATCAAATAAACGTAGTGTGCAAGGTTTACTTGAGCATTATATGTAGCTGAACCACCAAACAGTAAAGGACGCGCGGCTAATCTGGATATTTTAGGTAACACACAAGTTCCGGTATCGACAATTTCATTCGTCATTTTCGTGCAAATAATTGTAATAATATTATAATATAGCGCGGCTCCAAAATCGGGAAATCAAGACTGTTATCAGGAAGTCGGGAGCAGCACATCTGATTCCGGAAGTTCCCGACAAATTGAGAGGGTTGGCAGGCCTGCTTTTCAGCCATATTCTTTACGTATTATGTCCAATATAAATAAACTTTACATTACTTAAATCCCTTAAAAAGTGAATGTAATGAACGAAAAGAATGATTTACACAGGTCAGGTATGTTTTAGACATGGCTTTTAAAGAGTTAAAATTATAATAACTGTGACTCCAGACTTCAGAAAACGAATGGTATACTATGTTACAGTCGAGAGTAAGTTTTCAGCTGAGTACATTATACCAAGGTTTTACTGTACTACTCGTTGTCTTGCAATGCATCATACCCTTCAATCTTGAGGAGAGGAGAAGCAACAATTATATTTTGACTTCAGATACATCTGCTCTCACGTTCCCCTCACTGTTTCATTGAAGTACTCTGATCAGTGATCGCCTCTACATTTGTATTTTCACTTTAAGAATCAATCGTTGTCTAAACCACTGTGAACATCTGACGATACATATATGTGCAACCCCCCCCCATGAGCAAAAGCAACGATAATCCCTTGGGTTATTCATACTAATCTATAACATTCTCTGTTCATTTAGTTACGCAGTTATCGCTTATACTAGAAAAGGGACCAGGATGGCATCCCGATGCTTTTGGACGTACAATACATTTCGAATAAATTTGTTTTCAAAATGATATTATGCATACAGATAATAGAAGCTTTAAGTGATTAATAAAGTGAGAACGACCCCCCAAAAAAGTAGAACAGTCTCGACAAGCTGTTCAGATGTATTAAACCCAGGAAGCATTTTTGTCAGGTGTCTCGCGCGTTCATGTGGCCTTGTCATCCAGTTGCGAGCGCCGTAAAACGCTTACTACTACAAAAAAAGAAGAGAGAGAGAGTACATAATTAAACTGTATCTCATTCTTTTAACAACTGCACATGAGTTGTAATATATCTTTTCTTTCTTTATTTTTATTTATTTATATATTTTTTTAAATATTCAGAACAATTTGAATTTAGACAAAAATATTTCTTGAGCACATACCGAGATAGGTCAGATTTAAAATATTGCAATTTGAGCATCCCAACTCCCCACCCCATCCCTCCCCCTCTACAAATTTAGGATTAGTATAAAATTATATGTCCGCTCGTCTCCAAAGTGGAAAATGGATAAATATTAGTTCTTAACTGTGCTACTTTAGAGGATGAAATTTAACCTAGTAAGATCAGATCAGAAAGAAAAAGCCAATCAGCATTTGAAAATAGGTAAGTCTAGACCAACTTTAAAAAAAAAGAAAATTTCCTTATAGGATGATATTAGACACTCTTCATGTGGGTGGTTGGCGGGTGCTCTGGTGTGGTTTGCTCCTTCTTTCCTCTTAAACATCTATCGTCCTTATCTCTCCTCCTCCTTTTTTAAAATGTTTATTGTTACTCTCTTGTAACAGCTCTAATCTTCGGCACTTATATGACCTTATTGTGTTGCAAGTGCCGTAAAACTCTTTACTAAACTAAACTAAGACACTCTTCCTGTACACATAACATCAATTCTCGCTCTATGCGGTTGAGGTTCTTCGATATTAGTTAACCCTATTTGTACGTCGTGTTTTACTATCCTATCCATACGACGTGGGGGGACTCTGTGCCACCACTTAACCCTATACGTACGTCGTGTCTCCAACTTTCCAAAGAAGAAATTTACTCGTTAATCCGATCCGTACGCTTT